ATCAATCCATTCAATTAAAGATGAAAATCATCCTTGATAACGGCTAAAAGAATAGCAGAACATTCAGACAATTTTTATATACATTATGTTCAGTAAAGAAAGAAATTGTGTGAATACATAAAAAATTAAATATAAAGCATAATCACAGTACTTTGTCAGTTGACTTTAATGAAACTTGTATAAAAAAGGAATTGCTACCCAAATACACACACACACGGAGATATATATATATATATATGCACACAGTTGGGTAATGGATAGCGAAAGGTATGAATCCATCTCTTCAGCTGATGACACTAGAGTCAAAAAGCATCATACTTCTGAAGAGAAATACAATGAGAACAGAATTTCAATCTGGAAACATCATAATAAAATGTTTTCTATTAAATTATAAAAATTGTTTAATTCTTTTTGATATGATAAAGTGGTTTGTTTTCATTCTCAGATTGAAAAACAAAGCAAATAAGCATAATGGCTTCCTAAAGATGACCTGCCTTTATTTGAGATTCCATTATTGTGTGTGTGTCTATATATAAGTGAATTGTACCCACAGAAATAAAACATAGATTTTAAACAAAATGGACGCTTTGTTATACCTTAGGTACCTTTCGACCAACATATTTTTCAAAGGTATACGTTGGCAAATTGAAAAACGCACAAAGACACACTCAATATAGTAAATAAGGAGCAAAAGTTGGAACACGATTAAAAAAGAGATAAATTTTAATTACAAACAATTAAAATTCAAAGATGGGGTAATATAGCAAGTTCCGCAAGAGTATAAAAAGGAAAAAAGACATTCACAGTCCCTACCAACAAGTGTAAGGAATGTACAAAATGCTTCTTCTGTCTGCACAGGCCGGGCTGATGAAATTTTATAAATACAGCCTCCAGGACTTGGAGATGGTATACTGAGCGAGCACTGTGTCATATTGAGAACCAAGTCTCTTCATAATCAGTGGCACAAACATGGCTGTCGAGCAAATGCTGTCCAATGGCTGAATCATGGACTGCCTGAGTAGTTATTATAGATTGGCTCTGACTACTAGAATGCAGATAGGCTGCGCAATTTGCGTCTCCAACCTCAGATTGGTTTGTCTTATGTACACCACATCGGCATTTAAACTTGTAAACAACTAAATTTTTCTGAAAATAGGACAACCTATCTTTACTAAAGGATGGAAAGACAAATCTTGTTTGAAAAACTGTGCACAACTTATCAGCATTGTAACAAAACAAAATACATGCTGAAATTCTGTCGGATAATAACTGACATTTCCTGCCAAGCCAAGGTAACTTTAAATAAATAGGGCAACGGCTGGGTCCAAACACCACTGGTTCCTTGAAACGCTTGATTTTGCTGTCAATAACATGTCTGATAACGTTGATGGGATTTCCATTATTTTCAAAAATATTCCAAATAGTAATGAGTTCTCCATCTAACAGTTCGAGGGAACAGATTATCATAGCGCAATGAACCAGGATCACAATCAGACCAATCTTATGGGACTTGGGAACAAACGAATTCCAACTCGTATATAAGCCAGTAAATGTAAGTTTACGAAAAACACCAGTAACGAAAACCCTGTCTTTATGTTTAACAAGGATATCCAAAAAGAGTAGTGCCCTATCCTTCTCAACCTCCATCATAAACTTAAGGGATAGATGGAGAAAATTAAGTTGCGCCAGGAAATTAGTAGCATCTCTGGCAGAATCAAAGATTGAAAAAGTATCATCCACGTATCTCATATAAACACAAGGTTTTTGAACCCTATCAAACAATAGTTGCTCATAATATCCCCCGAAAATATTGGCTAAAACAGGACCCAAAGGGCTTCCTATAGAAACCCCATCAGTATGGACATACATTGTCTCGTTGAAGCTAAAAAACCCTCTGTAGCCAGACGCAAACATTCCAAGAACAGATCCTCATGAATACTGGCCGGGCCCAAATTACCCCTATAAAGCATATCAGCACAAATGCCCATAGTCTCATGCACCAAATCACCAAAAACAATCGCAGAAATGAAAACTGGGGAATCCAAAATTTCAGGATTGCAAGTCCAGATCCAGCCTGGAATGATTTCAATTTACTCACAGTCAGCCTGATTCCAAAATGGTATGATATGCTGGGCTACAGCCTCTAAGAGTAAAGTTGTAAAAGTGTGACACACTGACATTCACATTTATTATATTATTTATTTTTTTTTTTTTTATCAACATTTTTGTTACTTCAAATGTCACTATAGTGGACATTTATTATCTGAAAGTTCTTACCCCACTTTTATTTATTAATGTGCATCACATCCATCAGCCTGCACACTGGATAATTCTAAGTAATGAAAACATTCCCCAGCAGGTGTTGAAGCTACAATCCCACCCCTTGTAGGCATAATCGTCTACCTTCTGAGGGGACATGGTACACAAAATTCATCAATATGCGTATAACACTGTCCATGGTTTCTGCTATTATCTCCAAACTTGATACCCACAAAACCTGTGAACCTGATGGTATCCCTACATAGTCCTTAAGAAATATGCTCCTAAACTGACTTCTGCTTTCTTAAACTCTACAATAAATGCCTGGCTGCTTCTTGCTTTTCTGCTTGTTGGAAATCCTTTTCTGTTATACCATTCTTTAAGAACTCAGGTGAACCGTCTGAGCCTTCTATTAACCATCTACCTCTTTTTGGCAAAGTACTAGAGACTCTAATCAGTTAAGCATTTCACCTGATAGGATCTTCTTTCAAATGTGCAATATGGCTTTTCCTTCTCTAGGTCAATTCCTGATGTATTAATTATTGCTGAAAGTGTCTGTTGCATTGGACATCTTGAAAGCATTTGACAGGGTTTGGCATGCTGGTCTTCTTCACAAGTTGAAAGGTTAAGGAATTTCTGGATGAATTTTTGAACTGATTCAGTTTTTCTTATCAAATCATGAAATGAAAATTGTCCTGAATGGCCACTCTTCTAGATCTTTTTGCATTAATGCAGGTATTCCCCAGGGTTCTATCCTTGGGCCTATACTGTTTTTAATTTTCATCAATGACCTTCCTGATGGCATCAATTCTCGACTATGTATCTGTGCTCATGACACAATTATTTACTCCTGTCTTAATAGTAAGTCTAATCAGTTCAATAAGGTCAAATTGGCAGTGATCTCAAAAGTGACCGACAAGCTGCTGTTAACTGGGGCAAGGAATGACTTGTTAATTTTAATGTCTCCAAAACAAAACTCCTTTCTATTAAGCATCTGAGAAACCCTGTTTTGCCTTCCATTAACACAACTGATTTTAACTCCCAGGAGAGTGACTCATTGCACTTTATCTTGCTAATGTTCTCTGCTGACATGAAGTGGAATGATTATGTTGAATCAATTGTTAAGTCTGCTGCTATGAAAGTTGGTTCACTGTGTCATGCTAGACAATTTTTATCTTCAGGATCTATCTTACATATTTATAAGTCTGTCATTTGTCCTTGCTTTGAATATTGCAACCACATCTAGTCTGGAGCCCCTGCTATATTTCTTGACAAAGAAGAATTGGCAATATTATTGGTTCTGACATCTCGGCTTCAGTCATTTTCCCACAGCCATAATGTAGCTTCCCTTTGCTTTTTCTATAAATACTTTCATAGTAATTGTTCTGATGAACTTTCCTCTATGGATATCTAGACTTTATGAATTTAAGTGCACCACTGGATTGGCAGCTAGGTCTCATCATTTTACAGTTGAAATGGCTAGATGTAACTAAGTTCTGTACTAACAGTTTCTTCTCTTGCACTTCAAAAATTTAAAACCTGATGATTGTCATTGCATTTATCTTCTTAATTCCTGTTCTTTTATTCTCTTTCCTTAAAGTTTTTCTTTTTTTCATATTATTTTGCATTCAATAACACTTTGCATCTTAGTGGCTTAATTGCCTTGCTTAAGTTGAAATGATTAAAATAAATAAGGAGGAAACTTGAAGCAGCAGAAATGTTCTGTGGAAGGATGGTAAGAATAAAATGGATGGAAAAGTGTTCAAGGAAAATTGGAACAAAAAGGAAGACTTTTGCTTGGAATCAGGAGAGTTGAAATTTCTAGGGCACTTAATAAGGAAAGAAGGTTTGGATAATTTGACACTCGAAAGACGTTGAAGACATGAGCAGCATAGAAAAGATGTAAGTAACTTACCTAACAAGCTCATGCAAATGGTCGACAGAGAGTGGGAGGTGTAATAAAAAAAGAAAAGACAAATTGCTAAAAGCTACAAAGGATAGAAAGTTGTGGTGAACCATACTCATCAACATTTTGAAGGGACATAGCACAAAAGATAACAAAAAGGAAGACTTAAAATCTAACAAAGTGTATCATAAACTTGAAAGCTTTTTAATAACTGTCTATATTTCTGAGATGAGGTATTATGTACACTATTTACATTAGTCAGTCTATTGTCCTCATCTTTGTCATCATATTTATGACAACATTTCAGCCGTTGTACACTCCGGCCTTCTTCAGGTGGTTGGAATGTCAAACTGAACTCTTTATTATCACTCACTGGGGTAGACTGTTCTAGTTCCGCATGTCATGTTATCTCCTGTTAATTAATTAATTCCCCTCTCCAAGTTCGCCACTGCCATAACCGAGTATTGAACTCACACTCTTTGGGTCCTGTCAATGGATCTAACCAGCACCTTTATCCACTGTACCATGTGTATGAATTTCTGGGTATTATAAACCTAATGTCTCAGCAACCATTTTTTACCAGTGCTCATATCAATTTTTTGCTGTTATCATTGCATTTATTTTTTTTTTACCAGAGCTCATATTGCAACTTTTGTTGTTATTATTGCTTTTCTCTGACACTCCTTATTACTGGTTCCCATATTGTATTCATTTCTATGCTTGGTTGGCTCAGGAGATTTTTTTAATAAATCTTGTAAACTTTCTTTTATTTATAAGTATTGTTTTTCTCTCTGTCTTTTTTAGGCATAATTAAAGAAAATAGAAACCAATCAAGATGAAAATTATATTTCTCTTGCAACTTCTGCTCCCTATTTTGGGGTCCTGCTTTCTAAATACTTTCTCTGCTGACAACTCTTCTTGCAGGTAAGTGATACTACACTATGTAATATTTGGGGATATTTTATTCTTTATTATTTGAATATAATGTTACGGGATACTAGTATGTTTGTGTCATATTAGTCACCGTTATGTTGCAGGAATCGACACTTTGAAACACGCCTCAGAAGCAGCATTCTTATCCATGTGTGACTATATATGAAATCCAGAATTAAAAAGCGGAACAAAGAGAATATGATTCTCTTTTTAAAGACTTAAAGAGCACTCCCTAGTAGGCGTTTTGGCAAAGTCTGATAACCCACAATAATTATATGACATTATTATAATTTATCTTTCACTGAAATATAAATTTTTTTTTTTTTTTTTTTTGCATTGTGTAAAAAAAAAAAAAAATCCAACACCATAATTTAAGAATCAATTCTTTTCATTCATAGAATGTAGTAACACATTTTGTTCAGTGATTGTTTTTTTTGTTTTGTTTTTTTTTTTCCATTATGGAATATTCTTCTTGAATTCACCTTGTGGGGGGAAAAAGGTATAATTAAAATGGAAAGGAAATTTTCTCATATTTTAAAATCAATTGAAAGATACAGTTTAATGAAAAATTGGTTGACTCTGTTTAGAAATATTTTACTTCTCAAGTTTTAAGTTATGCAGCCATTTAGACCCGTAAAGGTCAGTTTTAAGCCAATTAGACCTATATAATAATTAGGCAGCATTAATTTTAATTTTATTTTAAATTCTTACAAAGTCAGTGTTTGTTCATACTGGTTATATTTTTAAATTTTTTAATGTATTTTACATGACTCCAAACCATTTTTTTTTCACCATCACCACAAGGATGAGATGACCAAGTTGACATCTCCTCATGCAGATGGTAAAAGGAAACCATGGACAGAATGTGACATTATGTTAGGGACCTTCATCCTTCCCTGAGTTTACAATCTTCAACAAGTAGTGAAGATGATATGCCCAAAAGTGAGGAGGATGGGCTAGATGATCCCACAGAGGAAGAATCACATGGGGATGAAGTGGAGGAGCACAAACTATCCCCCACTTTTGGAGAAGCACTCCAAGCTGTCGTATATGTAATCAGGAGGCAGTTTGGTAAATGCGCAGCAGTACAGGCACAAAAGAGGCCCCAGATTGCATGCATACATGTCTGTCAAAACCAGTTACATTTGGGTCTTCCCCATTAGTAGAAAAATAGCTTGGCATGTTCACATATGGGCCACTCTGCAACTTGTCCAGATCCAGGTTTCTAGCAAGTGTCTCCTGTCAATAAAAGCAACAAAGGAAAACCAGCAGTGGGCATGACTTGGTGTTTTGTGAAGTTGGTCCCATGGGCATTTTGTTCCTAAAGTAGTTGTACCACCCACTGTGCTGTGATTTCTGAGCCAGTGTTATTTTGTTACCTCCCACATCTTTCTCTGCCTATTACCCTCCCGGAGTTCTTAGGAGAGCAATCAGTTAGGCGTTTTTTAACCCCCAACTTCAATACACACTTGCTGTACTTTACAACAATATCATAGAAAGGTAAGAATAAATCTGGTTAAATGTGCCAATATTAGACATAAGAGTAAAATATGAAATCTCTGTGAGCAACTTGTGATGATGATCATCATCATCACACACATACATATATACTTACACAAATTCAAATTATACAACAACAAGCATTCATTGGATAATAAATCAACACTACTGTGTAATGGACAATTTATAAATCGCAGCTATGCGACAATTTTATAATCTCTCTATTTTCCTGTAGTCGATTTTGTGCACTTTTGGGAGAAACGGATCCCAGAAGCTTTCTTGAGTCTCTCCAAAGCTCGCTCGCTGATTGGTCAATGCCAACCAATTAGATTGTCTGCATGTTAAAAATGATTCTTCCTGCGCAGTGCTTCGGAGTCGATGATCACCTATATAAGCAAGAAATATTCTTAGATAATTAGTGAGAATTCAGCTGGCAAACGAATCCACAACAGTTGAAACCATGTGCCAATCTTCTCACACACACCACCACTCACATGCTGAATATTCCCTACACTTGCATAATCTTTTCCTTACATGGCAAAACTGTTGAAAACATTTATTACCAGAAATTATCACAACCTTCTTTCTTTCAGTGAACTTTGGAACACTGATAATAGTTAAAGAGAGACAACTCTTGTTTTACTCACATCCTTGTTTGTCGATCTTGTTAAATACAAATTTTATGTGTAATGATGTCTTTGGCTTATCCTTTTTTCTTCACGTCAGTTTGGTTTCCTAATCTAAGTTAAATTAATGTGGTGGAGTCCGCCACAAACTACTTTCCTGGATTATTTAGAAATGGTCCTGGAAAATGATTCCCTAAAAACAAGTGGGAACTCTGGTACTGCAATATGAAGGGGTGGGGACTAATGTAAAAGGTTTACAAAGTTTAATGTTTGAGGAATGGGAATTTTACTGCATCTAAGGAAACAATTTTTCTGTCCGAAATTTGGAGGTGGAATATGTTGTTGGAGGGGGGGGGCACCTTCTGTGTGGACATTCAGTTGATAATAGCTTTTGTTTTTTTTCTTTTAAATAGGAAGTACACCCACTACATCAATGAGAATATCAAATCCACCTGATTCATTATTACACAGATCACACTTAGGCTCTTCCAGGACAAGTAAATCTTGGAAAAGAAAATTTTCTTGAATGAGGAGTGTGAGTAGCCATGGTTAAATGCAAAATAAGTAACAGAATTGTCCAACCAACAGAATTGACAAAATTTACAATAAGCAATGACAAGAAAAAAGAACAAAAACGGGAAAAAAATGTGTGGCAACCGAGCATCACTACAGATGCAAAAGTGGCCTCAGATCACATTCAGACATGTTTGTCAACACCAGTTACTTCCAGTTTTTTCCCATTAACAGCAAGACAGTTTGGCATGCCTAGCTACCTACAGGCCTCTCTGCAAAGGAAGTGTGGATTTTGTTCCTAAAGTTGCTGTGGTTTCCGAGGCAGTGTTATTTTTTTGTTACCTCCTGTCTCTTTCTCCTCTCTGTCTATTACCCCCGAGCAATCAATTAGGTATTACCACACCCAAAAAATCTCAACAGACTCTTTGCTTACATTACAACAAAATAATTTAAAGCAAACAAAATATAAGTAAGGCAGATTAGCAGTAATAAGGCAAATTAATAGTAATAAGGCAAAAAAAGTCATGAATTAAGAATTGGTGTTGACACGCAAAAGCAAGTTTAGATAAGTAAACATAGCATTCTGACTTCAAAATAAGTCAGTTGGACTGTGTCAGATGAGAACCGGCCTATTTTATTGGCTAGGAAAAAATCCCAACATGCTTCTGCCTATAAAATTGAGAGGGGAAAGTGCTTTGCAGTCATTCCAAGTAGGATTGAAACCAACAAACCAACTCTCTATTTCGAATGGTGCAACATGCTCAATTCTATAGAATGGTAGAAAAGCTAAGACCAGGATATACACCCCCAACAAGACAAAAGATTGCCGATAAGTACCGCCTATGGTCTATGAAGAAGAATATATAAAATGTGCTAATGATCTCAAAAATGAAAATGTATGTCTTTCCTTAGATGGATGGTCAAACATTCAGAATAAGCCCATTATATGTGTCACTCTGACAACATCAACTGGTCACATGTATCTAGTGAACACAATAAACTTATCAAGCCAACTCTACACTACAGAATACCTTCAGGAAATTGACATGTCTTCAATAAATAAGTCAGAAGATTTGGGCTGTTATGGTGATTTAAGAAGTCTAGCTTAGTTGTGGCACAACGCCAAAAGTATGGGGCACCCGATGAGGATCAAACTCACTATTCAGTCATAATGGGTCTAGCAAGACAAACTTACTAATCTTTACACCATGTTAGAATGCCCAAACTTTGGATGTTATGTTGGTATTGTGGTAACAGATGTCAGCAAGATGAGAAAACTATTAGAAGAAAATGAATTGAATATTTTGACTTATAGATGTTCAGCACACATTTTAAATCTGCTGGTTCATGATTTAGAAGTTCCTAATGTCAAAGAACATGTAGTTTATTTGGTTAAATACTTTAGGAACAATCATTATGTCTCAGCAAGATATTGCCAAGATGGTGGTAATTGTCTTGTCATGTGCCAGATAACTCACTGGAACACCATGTCAGACTGAAGAATTATAAACAACTGGTCAATTCTCTTCCAAATTTGTAAAGTTAGCAGGACAAAGTATATTCACCCATGAGAAATAAGGTGGCCAACCTTGCACTTAAGTGATATGCATTGGAACAGCTTTCACAGTTACAATCTATATGTAAATCTCTCGATAAAGTGATAGATTCACCATTGCTGAAGCAATGGATATTTGGAAAGAATTGTTCAAGAATTTTGAAAAAGCTCCTGAACAAAAAAACTGCTAGAAATGGGGGGGGGGGACAAAAACGGTACAACCAAGTCATTACCAAAGAACACCTTCTTGCCAACATGGTTCATCCTTATCTTAAACCATTAAAAAAGTTAATATTGCAATGGAATTTGCCAGTGAGAAATATACCATACTTGTTTCCATTATTATGAAGTTGTAAGCCAGGTCTCCTCCCTTCCAGGCATTTAAATTTGCAAACTTAGTAAGCAAGACGGTCTCTGCTATTAAATGGTGGGATTAGCATGAAAGTATGTTGAGTAGTGATATATGTTCTGTGGTTAAGCGACTCCTGTCAGCAGTGGCCTCCTCTTCTGGCAATGAAAGAGTTTTCTCATCCTATGGACTGGTGCATTCCAAATTGAGAAACCATCTTGGCACAGATAAAGCAGCAAAACTGGTCTTTCTGTTTAAATCTATGAATGCAAAAACTGCTCATGTTCAATTTTTTAGTGGTTAAAATTTTTTTCTATAATAAAAAAAAAATTCTTCAGTTGATGAATTAAATATTTCATTCAATATGTTTTACACTTTTCTTCCTTCATGAAATTACACGAACACAAAAAAAAGGTTTTATTTTTAAATTTGTTTGCTTTAAATAGAGATTTTTGTAAAATTTATTTAGATCAGTGATTTTAAAAAAATCATTTGATTTAAATCAAACAACCCTGGCCCTGTTACAGTTGATTGTTATTACATTTAGTTGTGTTGATGTGTGCATTTGTAGTTTGATAATTTGTTTATTTAATTTTTGTTTATTTTTTTCTTGGGAGTTGGTTATTTTATTTGTTTACTTTAGTTTAAAATATTGCTTTTGTCTAAAGTATATTATCTGTGTTGTATAGACCGCATATTTGCATTTGTTCATGGTGGTATTTTACAAGGTATTCATTTTTAGTTTTCAATTTGTTTTTTTAAATAATGTACAGTGGAGTAATGGATAGCAGCTCAGATTGCGGAATCGAAGAACCGAGTTCGAATTCAGTTGAATTATATTCATATGTGCTAATACCCTTGGGAAATGTATGAATCCTCTTCTTCTCCCCCCAGCTATGGAGAAATAGCAGGATAGACTGGGTTCTGTAGCCTTGGATGGCAACTGGTCTACTGCAGAAAGAAATGGCAACCTACTGCAGGAAAAAAAATCTGCCTCATCAGTCATGTATCGAAAGAAACATGGTCGCTTAAGCATATATCACATATGGCATATAACTGACTGATTAAAAGTTTTTCATGTCTACATTTTGAGATAAGTTCTGATTGTTTTAGTAATTTGCCACAATATTGCAAGCATTTGTTTGTGACTACATGAAAAGTGTACAAGGATTTTCCAAACTCTAATTTCTGTCTCATTTATCTGATATTTTATCTTCTACGTTATTTTCAGTGCATCCTTAGTGGAAAGTATTCCAGAAAATTTGACATATCCAATTTTTTCCATTTCCCACCAATCCACTTATAAAGCTTTAGCCAACCTTATTGAAATGGCTTCACATACCATTGAAATCGCTTCATTCTACTGGACTCTACGAGGAATTGATATTTATAGTGATCCATCAGCTTGGCAGGTAAAATAAACCCATTTTCATTCTTTTTTTCTTCTTAAAACCCACATAATAAAATAAAATCAATAATCAGTAATTGTAATTTCATTTTACTGCCAACCAAATTTAAACTCAAATGACTGGGAAGGATTAAGAGACAAACATTACTTAGAAATACAAAGGATTGGAAGTTGTGGAGAGCCATGATTGCCATCCTCCTGAAGGGAAATGGCACATAGAAAATAGGTAAACAAGATTTTGGCTTTTCCTTTGTTGCCCTCTCTCATAACTCCTTTGTTTAGATTTAGTTATTTTCAGAATTAATTCAAGTGTTACTGACCGAGTAAGGCTATTAATATGAATTTCTTTCTTTTATTTCTAAATTGTAAAGTTGCAGAATTTTTTAAGGTATTACTACTTATATTTGTAATGAATACAGCAAATGATTTAATGTAGTGAAATGAATCCTGGCAAATAATGTATGATATATTGTAAATGTGTTACTATGAAAATATATTGTAGATAAAACTTACTACAGAAATTTATGCCAGATGATTTTACCATGAAAATCCATTGCAAATAACTAACCAAATAAATTTGTTGCAAATGAAACAGGATTTATGATGGAAATATTGTGGAACCGTAGAAATGGTTTATGGGTGATTCCATGTCAATTCAACCAATCAGTGTAACCTCAAAAAATAGATTTTGATATATGTTGTAGATCTTATAATCGTTAGGAAATCCTGAAAATTTTAAGTGAAAATTTCTAATACTTCTCAAGATGTTGCAAGTTGAAATTTTACGGCTCGGCATTTTCTGTCAATGGACATTTCCATTTTCGAACTCAACAATCTCACAAAAACCCCTATAACTTCTGATTGACTGGCCAAAAATTAATGAAATTTGATACTCCTATAGATTTTTAGTCCAAAAAGTAGATATTAGCAGTTTTCTGATGATGGCAGGGGGAATGAACATTTTTATGTGACTGACCACACAGAAAAATTGAGAAATATCATCTTCAGCCCCTAAAAGTAGCAAAAGGTGGCACAACATTTGAAAACTAGAGGATTTAACAAATAAATCCCAATAAGTTTCATTAACTGTCTCTTAAAGCTACCAATTCAAGACCTCTTAATTTTTTTTTCTCAAAAATTTTGATTCATGCTAATTTTGCAATTATGATCTGCTAATATAGACTCATTCTGTTAAAGGTGATGGAGTCCATAGGTAACAAAACATTGGGAAAGCATTCCATATTATTTGGGGAATTCATTCTCTAAGTTTTAACAACTTTCTCTTTTTATTTCAATTTTTATGAATGTTTGAATATGCATTGCAAAAATTTAAAAAAAAATGAAAATTTAGTCCAATTTGCAACATCTTGAGAACAGTTAGGAATTTTTACTTAAAATTTTCAGGATTTTCTAATTGCTATAAGATCTACAACATATATCAAAATGAACAAAATCTACTTTTTGGGATTACATTTTTCTATTTTGTTGGTTGAATTGACCTAGAATGACCCTTAAGCTTTTCTTATTTACATTATTTATATATGCAGACTATTGTCCTCATTGTTGTTGTTGTTATTGTTATTAGTATAACATTTCAGCCATTGTGGACAATACCATAATGCATTAATTCATTGATTCATGAATTTGATGACAGTAATTGTGAGTTCAATCCCTGGGCCAGGCATTGTGTATTTGGATTTAGTAGAAATCTGGTGAGCAATACGAACTAAACAAAATATCCCTAGACATCAACAGAATAATAATCTACCTCCATAGATTAAATAAAGGGTTCAGTTCAAAATTCCCTGAAGCTTACTCAGATCAACAACCACCTGATGAAAGTCAGAAGATATAACAGCTGAAACCTTGTGATAACAACAACAAAGAGGAAGATAATAGTCCACAAATAAATAATAATAACTCGTCATCCTAGAAATTCAAACAGAAAGCAACATATGAAAACATATTGACAAATCTTTTGAACACGTAATATATTTACTTCCTGAATTTATTTCTTCAGGGAGAAGACATTTTCAAAAGATTGATTATTGCAGGAAGAAATCGGAGTATCAGTCTTCGAATAGTTCAAAATATTGAGAATACCAGACAACCTAATGAGGACACAAGGATTTTGACTAAGGATGGTAAGATATTTATTCTATGAATATTAACAAACCTTTAAGATGGAAAAATAGTAACTAGCTTTATATTTATAAAATAATCCTTTCCATATTCCTTGAAATGCTGTTAACTGTGATTTCTTTTTCAGCTTTTGCAAAAGTACGTTCACTGAATATGACAAAATTCATGGGGTCTGGAATCTTGCATACTAAAATGTGGTTGGTTGACCGAACTCACTTCTATATTGGAAGCGCCAACCTTGACTGGAGATCTCTGACTCAGGTAATAGATTCTTGATTAAACTCACCAAGAAACCAAAACTTATTTTTTAATCATTTCCCCCAAAGCAATAAAGCCAGTAAGATGCAAAGGGCTACTGAATGTGAGAGAATATGAGAAAAAGAAAATTTTATTATGGAGAACAAACAATAAAAGAACAGGAATTAAAACAGGAGATAATGATTGACATTGCATTTAAACTTTTTAAAGATCAAAGTTGACTGGAAAGCAAAAATCTGGAAGAGAACTCATGAGTGAAAAGTATAAAAAACTATTAGCAAAGAACTTACAGTTCCATCTTGCCATTTCAACTGTAAAATGAAGAGACCTTGCCTATGATACTATGCTTAAATTCATAAAGTCTAGGTACCATAGAGGAAAGTTCATCAAAACAGTTACCCTGAAAGTATTTATAGAAAAATCAATGGAAGCTATGTTACATCACTGGGAAAGTGACTGAAGCTGAAATGCCAGGTCAGGGCCAGTAACATTGCAAATTCTTCTTTTTATGTTATCAAGAATCTATAAATACAGAATCCTCAGACCAGATGTGGTCATTGATAATGAAACAAATTTATCAAAGAATAAAAGGTAAAAAATACTGATAATTTTAGCCAAATAATACTGCTTTTATTTATTCTCTGGTAATATAAAAAATGTGTGAAAAGACTGGCAACAAACTTTATGCTTTAGTTATGTCTACATTGACATGTTTTTTATCTAGAATCATTTCAGAATATTTTACTATATAATGAAGGAAATTTATTTAAATTCTATTCATGACCAAGTATACATCAAAACAGTTAAATACAATTCTGTTTGTTATAGTATTTCTGTATTCAATTCAGAATTAAACACATCTTTTAAAATGTAAATCACAATCACAAATTCCATAATCCATTAGGACCTTAGAGGCACCATGTGTTCTGCATCAATAACAGCAGTGGCTATGTCACGAACAAGATAGCCTGATAGAAACAATCTCTCTTAAGGCTGATTTTTCAATTCAGAGTTTTTCTTCTAGACTGGTTGCCACCCAAGGCAAAAAGAATCCAGTCTGTCAGCCCTGCTATTTAATCCATAGTTGGAGGAGGATGGACTGATGTCTTTTACAAAGTGAACAAAACAGATTGGGTCCGAATTTGAACATGGTATACCACTCTCACTTTCCATAAAAATTAACCATTATGCTACACACACACACATCCATCAAACGTAAATAGACAATGTAAATAATGCATTGAATAAATTTTAGTTGGCCTCTTGGCATATCAGAATTTTCTTATTGTTCTCAGCTGCAATTGTTAATTAAGGTTGTCCTCTTCTAACCATCTATCCTGACAATGTGAAAGAATAGTAATTTTCACCAACTGGTAGCCTTGTCTTATCTTTAGGTCACCAGGATCACTCAGTATTTCAAATTATGGGTTTGAATTCTGTTCTTCTAATTGGTAGAAAATAAGCTAAAGGAAGAATTTTCTTTCTCAATCCTTTTTTTTTTTTCCTCAAAAGTTTGAATTTTATTTCTCTGAGCCAGACATCCCAATCACAAATCCCATAACCCCTGGGAGGGTTGTAGGGAACATCACATCTATTGCATCCACAGCAGCAGTGGTGTTTAATGGGTAACACAACCTGATGGAGCCCAACCCTCTACAGTTGAATTCATAGTTTTCCTTCTAGACTGGTTGCTGCCAACCAAGAATATAGGGCCCAATATGTTCTGTTATATACCCATGTCTGATCGGGGGGGAAGAGATGGATTCATACCTTGCCCAAGGATATTAGCACGTAAATGAATGTAATGAACTCTACTGGGATTTGAACTCAGCTCTCAGATTCCTTAATCTGGGCTGCTATCCATTATTCCACCATGCCAGACATAGCATCACCAAAATTAGAACCAAAATTCAAAGCATATGGAGAGATGGTTGTCTGAGAACCTCATTAGTTATTAAAGTCTTTGCATTTAGGTAGTTAAGAAGCATAGACATAATATTTTTCACATAAATTTTTATGTTATACACAAACACACACACACACACACATATATATATATATATATATATATATATATATATATATATATATATATATGACAAAATTTATCCATGAAGGCACTGTAGTTTTTCTCCTATCCAAGTACTTTCAATCTCCTCCAAGATCATCATCGGGAGTGAATTACAAAGCTAAACTTATTGTAACTGTGATAGTAGTGATGGTGATTTTTTAAAACGCACATAAACATGCACTGTTATAATTATTTAAAAATTTTAAATTTATCTATTGTAGCTATGGAATATTTAAAACAAGTGTCCCAATATAAGGGAGCTAACCAGAAATTGGTAGAAATATAAATGGCATGAAATGTTAAATGCACTTCAACACATGGCTGCAATAATCATAATAAATTTTGTTCAGTGTTAGTTGCTTGCTTTTGATATAGGGGGGGTCTCGAGAATTTGGGTTTTGTTTATTTTCATGGTGTAGATAGAAACGTACACACACACACACACACACACATTATGAAATGGGCAAAGTTCGACAATTATTTAAGACATTTTTTTTATGTTTATACGTTCTTTTTATAGATACAAATATTTAAGTAAATGCTCTGTTTATAATAAACAGTATTAACAACATTTGCCGACCTGAATGTCCGAGAAATTTTCATAGAAAATATGCGTCCTCCAACAGGAATTGAACCTGTATCCTATACAGAACCGTCCTATAGCCTGACGTGCCCTAACCGATTGGGCCACAGAGGAGCTTTCGGTTAAAAACAGTAAAATAGACCTTGCTAACTGAAGAAATGAAAATTTCTCAGACATTCAGGCCAGTAAATGTTGTTAATACTGTTTATAATAAACAGAGCATTTACTTAAATATTTGTATTTATAAAAAGAACGTATAAACATAAAAAAAAATGTCTTGAACAATTGTCAGACTTTGTCCATTTCATAATGTGTGTGTGTATATATATAAATATATATATATATATATATAATGATGATAAAGGGAATACAAAGAAAAATTTGAAAAGGGTTAGAAATAAGAAGTTTTAGTAAGCATTTGACAACAGAATTACAGAATTGTTTTACTTTTTTATAAGGAGGACAATAGATAGAAATATATATATATATATATATATATATATATATATATATATATATAAAAATGTGCATGTTCCTATCTAGTGTTCTCCTTCTAAAAGTAAAACAACTGTTTTTTTTTTTTTTTTTTTTTGTCAAATGCTTGTTATAAGTTATTCACATCCTGTGTATGTCAAATAATTTACTAAAACTCCTTCCTTATTTCTAATACTTCCCAAATTTTTATTTGTATTCCCTTTATCATTTTTAATACTACTTTTCATGTTTTGAATTGCAAAGGTGAAAGAAACATGGCTGGTGTTGTATGTGTATCTTTTTTTAAGTCTCATCATCTCTGTCTGTTATCATTTGTCCCACTCAGCTTACTGATTCCTTTTTCCTTGTTATTATCTATTAATTCACCCATGTCTCTGTTATCTTAATCTAAAAGATCAAAGGTTAAAATTTGAGATGGCCAAATTATCTCCAGCTTAAACAGACACATTCTCTTAAACCTTTAACTCGTAATTCAAAAATAATTATTTTGATTTCCTTTCTTTTAAACATTTTCAAATAAAACTCTGCTTTTTTTCTTTTAAATTGTTTTTCTTTTATTTTATAATAATATTGTTCTCTTTCTGAAATTTCAAAGGTGAAAGAATTGGGTGCCGTAATATACAACTGTCCTACCCTGGCAAATGATATGGGTAAATTATTTGATGTCTATTGGTACATGGCAGCAGCAGACAGCATACCCAAACCTTGGCCAAAAGAATATAGTACCAAAATCAACAGTAAAACCCCACTGCAACTTGGATTAAATGACACTAAATATGACATTTATTTATCGGTAAGATGCAATATCAAAATACCTCTTTAGAACAATTAAATCTATTCTTCAAAGTTTTTGTGAGCTTCAAATTTGCTTAATGTTTTATCTCTTATTTTGTGATGATGAAATGTGTCCATCTTGATTACTAAATTTTAAATTACTAGAATTTTTTTTTTTTTTTTTTTTTTTTTTTGCAACACCCTGATGCACGTTGAAATCCTCACAGTATTTAGTATTGTTGAAGTTATCACTAACTTTTATTGTCAAGATTTACAAACTCTACATTTAATTCAATTTTTGTAAACCAATTGATGAAACTTGAATAAGCTGATTTGTTTGGATTAATAATTTGACAAAAACCGTACTTCGCAGTTTAATAATTTCTTTAATTTAATATTATAGGACAATATTTTTAAGAAAATTTATTTTTTTCCTTTTTAACAGCAAAGAATAAATTCATAATATTCCTTGTGTAAATATTTTTTTTTATAGGCTAATACCAATTTTTTGAAACATTTGGCTTTGTCATTTGTTTATAGTTCATAAGGTGAACTGGAAACTGGATTCTTGTGTACAAAAACTTAAAAAGATGTGCAGAAAATAAATATTGCATTTTTATTAAATAAATATTATTTTAATCACTAAATTGTTTTTAAAATAGTGGGCATGTATTGTATGTTAAATACAATATAATTTAATTTTTCCCAAGAAAATTTATTGTATTTAATAATCTATACACCCTAGTAAAACCAAGTGTATTTTGTACCCCCACCCCCTTACTTGTTTGCACTTCTCCTCAAAATTTGGTTTTGATTGGCCAATGTATGGATATTTTAAAGGGTGTAACAGACTAACAGAAGTCACAGAATTTTATATATAGATTTTTATTATTCAAGAACTAGGTACCTTTTTGAATTTTTTAAAAAGGGGATATTAAATACAAATATAATCCCTAAGGTAAGAGAAAAATGTATTTATTTTTTCCTAAAAGACACACTAAAATTCTAAATTCCTTTTAATTGGACAGAAGTTTTTTCATTTGTAAACCATTATTATGATACAGTAGGAAAAAAGATAGCTTAATGGAGGCCAAAAGAAGATAGCTTAATGGAGGCCAAAAGATGAAAGTCAGAAGGTAGAAGCATTAGAGAGTAAAATGATGTAGGATATTAAAAGGAAAAAAATTTAAAATAATCAAAATACAGATGACTTAGATTATAAGATCAGCCTACTTTTTAAATGACTTAATCCTTTTAAGCAGTTTATCTATTATCTCAGAAGTGAATATAATCCAGTTTATAGATAAAAGATTTTATTCTTACCACTCCATAAGGTCTCACACATTAAAAACAAATGGAGTTTTACCAGTTGACACTACCTTCCAGTTTAACCTTTATAAGTGTCGCAGACAAGACATTAGTGATGACATATGTCAAAGGATGTGATAAGATTTGGTTGCATGTATCAAGGCCATATGGTTGACAAATGTTATGGGGGAAAATGACATCTCAAATTCAATAAAAAATAAACCAGAAGAGTTAGAAAAATAAGATTCATTCGCTCCATTTTTGTTGTCTCAAATTTTGAAGCTCTTGTTTCTGACTCAAACGAAATATACTGGATTTTGTTTTAAGGAAAAAACTAGAAAGAAAGAAATTAATAAATGAAAGTAATTTCTGGTCTTTGGTTTGGCATCTCTGCTATTTAGATATCAAATTGAGTAGAAAAAGATGCAGTGGAAGAGGATAGCAAGTGAGGGGGGAATGATTGAAAGACAATCAAAAATTTAAATATAAATATGATTTCAAAATTTAAGTTATTATTACAGATTGGCTTGGCCAAAAATTCTCCATAGACCCCATATAAAATAGGGTTGAGTAGCTGTTTCCAGAGACTAGACTCTGCCCTTCAAAATAACCTCATCTAGGGATCATCTCTGCCCAAATGTTGAGAGTTTGACCAGCACAGCTGGAGACAAATCTCCAACTGCAGACTAACATACAGTATTTACTACTGTATTTATGTGAATGGTGATATAATCATTATTATCCCTAGATATGCTACAATACTATAAAACAGTTGGAGTTGAGGGAGTTGTATATTTATTCTTGCTGATATCAGTGATCATTGTTCAAACTCTGAGAAAAGCCAGGATTTCAAATGTTGATTTTCTAGATAGGCTTGTCTCATTTGAAAAATTGGTGCGACAAAATCTTCCTATTTATATTTTATCCTGTTTTGGATTTGTGCCTTACTAAACTCAATTTTGTATTGGGTATTTGAAAAAGCAAGTCTGGTATTCGAGTGACCAGTTTTGTGGTACATCTTTTTTTAAAAGATGAGTGGATCGTGCAACCAGTTTATTTCTGCTAAAGAGGCACTGTAATCGCTTCTCAAACCAAAGAAAGGACATAGGGTTGTTAGATTCATCAATGCTGCCATGTGCAAAGGAAACTGTTGTAACCTAGGAAGGGTTACTGAATGAGGAATAACCAAAACGGAGGTTGGAAATGAAATGGTAATCTTTATAACATCAACAAAATACAATACTCACCAGTGGTGTGAAGTAAGTAAACCACTGCTAGCGGTGGACTATTCAAACAGCATATTACCCCCACTTACAATAGTGTCCAACATATTTATAAGGATTGGAACATACCCACTAGTGTTCATAGGTATGGTATATAACAATATTGTAAATATTTTCTGGATCTGGTCTGACAACTTTTGTCAAAAATAAATCCAAGATACTTTATTGATGTCCAAAATAAATCTCACACACACAAAATCCATATTTCTGAATTTGGTCGAGGGCACAATACATTGTAGGATTTTGTCTTGAGTGAACTCTCTGACAATGATGTCCTCAATGTAAGCAGCAACTACTGTTAACCCAGTCAGCACAGCAATAGCATGCAGAAGGGGGAGCAAAGGGTGCAACAACCCAAGGCTTCCATATCAAGCTGAATGCAATCAAAGAGTGAAATAAAAATTTAGTTTTTGAAATTAGAAATAAAGTGTTTATTTCATGTTTCATCTGTTTTAGCATATTTAAAATGTCTTCCTGTCTCACATTTCTCAGTACTAGGCCCTATGGACCCTCTAATTGAATCTTGAGGCATGCAATCAAGGTGTTGGCCTAGAGCATCACTAAACCTCTGCATGCCACTGCAGCATAGAATAGCATGCACTGACTTAATGCCAGATGAAAGGAAGTTAAACTTAAATAACCCTCAATGTGTGTTAATTGTAAGTAACTACTTAAAATCATCATCGACTTCCATTTAGAGGTAAGCTTTAGCCTGGTCGCATTTATCAAAAGCAGGTTTTCCTTCATTTAGCTTTGTGAATAGGTCCTCATGAATGGTATTACCAATTAATGCTCAACTGGAATACAAGAACAACATTATATCTGAAGATGTGTCAAGCTGAAAACAAACTGGAGTTTTGTTAATGGAAATTGTTATCTATCTTCTATATATAAAATTCTGTGACTTCTGTTAGTCCGTCCATCCATCTTACTCTGTAAAATAGTCATACATAGTCCTTCCATCATTCTTACACTCTAAAATAGTCATACATTTTGGGGAAAAGTACAAACAGGTAAGTGGGTACAAAGTACAGTTGATTTTACTAGGTTGTGTAGCTTAGTACAACAAATTTTCATTCATTTTTGGAATAAAGTAAGTTTCATTATATAACATACAGTATACACCCACTATTTTAAAGCAATTTAATGATTAAAATAACAAATACTTATTTAATAAAAATGTAATATTGTTTTTTACAAATCTTTTCATTAAGTTTTTATGCAAGAATCCAGTTTCCAGTTCTCTGAGTTTGTGAGAACTATAAACAAACTACAAGGTCAAATGCTTCAAAAAGTTGGAACTTGGCTCCAGAAAGAAATATTTATGCATGGCTAGTTATATGTTGCAAGCTCAAGAGTAAGAAATCCTAAGAATTTATTCTTCACTGTTAAAAAGGAAAAAAGAAATATTGTTTACCATGAAGTCCTATTAAATTAAATTAAATTAAATTAAATTAAAGAAATTATTAAACCACAAAGTAAGGTTTTAGTTAAAGCATTTTTCCAAACAAATCAGCTTATTTCATCAATTGATTTGTGCAATTGAATGAAACCTAGAGTTTGTAAATTTCCACAAAAAATGTTAGCGATAACTTCAACAATACTAAAGATTGTGAGAATTTCAACATGTATGCTGCATAAAAATTTTAGTATTTTATATTTTCTGCAAGACTCAGTCAACTTTGAAAGTTATGAAAACAGGATTTGCGTGTGATGTTTGCAGCATGGTTTCTTGTGAAAGAGTTTGGGTACTTTTTCTCATGTTGAGAGTTTTTACTTTCTGTGTGTGCAAAATTCTTCCTCATGTCTGTACTGGTTACATGTCTGATATTGGTGGGGTTTTTTTTGTTTTGTTTTTTTAATAGACAAAAATATGAATAATGCCATTCAATACATGACCAACATGTTGGTGACCTCTTTTTAAAGGAGTTCTTTCTCCTGTCTAACCTACTGCTGGTAGTAGATTGATTCGTTCCCTGGAAAAGCATCAAAGTGTCATGATTCAGGCCAAGTAAACGTTGGCGCTCATAGTGAGGACTTACACTGTGATATCTTTTTACTGCCAAACTTCGACAACAGTCAAGCCCGAATATCTACATCTTGAGGAGATTGAAGTCCAGCAATAAAAATAAGGCATTTTAACTGATCTTCCATTTGTGACTGCAGATGGGATTTTTCACATTTACAATACCTGCAAAAGTAACATAGTCATCTGCATCACATTTGGTTAGTTTGAGGCAGTTATACTGAAATAAGGAAAGCTGTTGATCAAATATTTCACTAAGTTGCATCATTGAGAAAATTCTAAATCCTTGTTTTGAAAAGATGAAATTAGTGAGCAACTGTTATTTTATAGTGCCATATTTTCTTAGCAAAAGGCAATTTTTCCCATGCATAATTTTTGCCAGCAAATTCTTTCTGAAAGGCGTCCTCCAAACACCTGACCATGTGTTATGACCAATTTCAAATTCATAGCTAAAATCCGTAATATTTGAGGTGATACTGTTATGTTTTGCATATCTCTCTGCATAGTAGTAGTTGTAGTACAGTTCTCAGTGTCCTGAATAGAAACCGGGTTTGCTAGGCATAGCCCCCTATGTTTGCCAGTTGTTTTCTATTTATACTTATCTAATTTACATACAATACAACACCTCCCTGAATTGGAGAGGTCATATACCCTTGTTTTTTTCTTTTACTGTTCCTGATTATTTTTGTATTGTGTTGTTCTTCCTCTTGTTTTTCTTGTTTTCTCTTTAATTCTTGCAAATGCAGCAAAAGTTCTTATCCATGTTTCTATGTGTTTTGGTTCATCCAGCGAATTTAACAATCCTATCAGTGATGCCATTGTTATGTTCTGCATATCTCTCTGCATAGTAATAATACAGTTCTCCGTGTCCTGAATAGCAACTGGATTTTCTAAGCATAGTCCCAGTTCACCAGTTCTTCTCTATTTATACTTGTCTATCTAATTTGCATATGATACTACTGATACTTTTAACACTTTACTGCTAGAATTAGAAGCTGCTATTTGCAGCTTAAAGCATTGGGTCAAAGAATTAACCTTACTTGTTCAAGTTGTTCTTGTTGTCTTAAACATTTCATCTGTTGCTTTTAACATTTCTATCAAAATTGTCATCATGAGACCAAATTTTGTCATGATTAGTCGTGATTCATTTTAATTTATGATCTCTTGCATTCCATATTGTTGTAAAGTATCCATTTAGTGTGTTAGCTACTTCCATAATTAATATGTAACCTTTTTTACAAAAATATTTTGTGATACATGAAATAATGGTGGTGAAAAAGTACATGCAGAAAATAAGTCTGATTGATTTGCAATGCAAGATAACATTTATTAAAACAACAAAAGGAAAGTTTAAGAGTTTCTTTTCCTAGAAGTAAGTTCCATACACAATAAAAATTGTTAATGAATATTTGAGTTTTACTTACTGTGTTGGTGTTTGTGTGTGAAGTGTCCAGAGGCCTTTTGTGAAAAGTTGGTAGCACACACTTTGAAAGGAAGAAAAGCAGGAAGAGAAACACTTAAAGGTTCGCTTGTTTTTATACCCCCAGGGCTAATGCTGATACTATGTTTATAAAGGCACTACATCCACTTTTCATATCCATACTCACCAAGTGTTATCCATTTTATTAAGAAAAAAAATGGTGTAAAAGATAATGCAAGACTGCTTATTTGTTTTTTTTTTTTTTTTTGACCAAGCAAAAATAGTTTGGCAGAGAAGTTTTCACTCATCTACCATATTCACCAATTACATCACCTTGAATTACTACCATATTCACCAATTACATCACCATTTATTCTGGTCTTTACAGAATTCTCTTAAAAGAAATCAGCAAAAAAGTACCTGAAATTGCTTAAGAGGAAGGGCAAAATATTCTATCAGGATAATACGCAACTGCATGTTTCTTTGGTGACCAGGATTCTAGTCTTCTTTATAATATTAATAAAAAAAAAATAATCAGTTCTTCTGAAGAGTGCAAAAGGCAGGGTAATTGTTTATTGATAAAAATATGGAGAAAAGTTATTATGAAATTGCTTGAAAGATGGCAGAAGTTAATGGAACAAAATGATGAATATGTAAAGTTAATATTACAAATCTCTAAAAATTATATTATTTTTATACAATAAATGAAACTGAATTTTTAATTACACAACAAATATCAATTTATGACTTCATGAAATTATTTTTCATCTTTTTTTTTTTTTTTTAGAGCTCTCCTCCACCATTCTGTGCAGATGGTCGTACTGTAGACATTGATGCAATCCTCAAAATAATAAATTCAGCTAAAAAATTTGTGTATATTGCTGTCATGGATTATAGCCCTGCTATTGTTTTCAGCTATCCAAGTGTGTAAGTATCAAAATAAACATTTGATCATGTTGAAAATTTGTAAATAAATATTTATTTGATATTTATTTTAACAAATCTATTTTTGTTTTTCATTTCAGCTATTGGCCTGTAATAGACAATGCTTTAAGGAACGTGTCTTTCACGAAAGGGGTCAAAATCCGATTACTTGGAAGCTCCTGGGCTCACACCAAGCCAAGTATGTTTAATTATTTGAATTCATTGCAGGCCCTTAATGGAGCAAAAAAAGCAGACATTCAAGTTGTAAGTATTTTTACAAGAAATTTTTTTTTTTTTTTTTTTTTTTCAAATTCAATAAAAAGAAACCATAAGTTAGAAACATGTGGCCCAATAGATAAAAGTGCTGGTTGAGTGATCCAAAAGTGACTTGATCCAAAGAATTGTGAGTTCAATATCTGGCCACAGCAGAAGTGAACAAAAACTTGGACATTTAAGTTACTAAGGGGAATTAACTGAAATTAAGATATCCAGAAAAAGCACGACATGTGGAACTAGAACAATCTACTCTCATGGACTAAAAGGTTCAGTTCAAAATTTCAACATATATTGCCTGAAGACAGCTAGAGTGTACAGCGGCTGAAACATTGTGAATATGACAATAAAGACGAGGTCAACAGTCTGAACATTGTAAATAGTGTAAAAAAAAATATATTCTATAATAAAGAAATCTTTAATATAAAATCAATTTTTTTTTATAAAAAGAATAATTATAAATAATCTGTTTTTAAAATGAAAGTATATTCTTTTTTTTTTTTTTTATAACTTTGAAGAAATTCAAATGACATACTACAATTTAATAAACAGTATCAAACAAACTTAAATCTGACTTCAATTTAGGCAAACTGTTTTTTTTTTTTTTTTATGATTTGACAAGTTTGCATTTTTTGACAATGGTGACTACTGAAGAAATATGGCTTGAACCATTTATTGAATTATGTAAACAGGATAAACATTTAGACACTTCTTTTCCAGATACCATATTGGCAGAAGTGGTACGACTGATTTGCATATGTTTAGCTGCTGTGTATGCAAATCTCTTTAGCTAATAAATACCTAATGCTAACCTCAAGCAAGAGGAAGATTTCAGCTCAGTACTTTGAGGTCACATTAGTTGGTGACATGAGTAAAGATTGAAAGCTACTGAGTAACTTTACCACTCACAATATATATATATGATAGTCTTAACCTGTCACTGTGGTTTTGTTACAAACAGTAAAGCAGGCTATGCTGTCCACTTCTGGAAACATGTGGCAATTGATCCTCAACCACTCAAGCAAAATGCTTCAACCATATGTTCCATCTGTCTAATAGTTTGCAAAACACCTGTAGGCCTCAGGAGACACATGTTTAAAATTTGCTTTATTTATAGGAGAAGAGTGTCCAGTGTTGGAGATAGAGCATTTATAGTTATAGATAATGTGGACATAAGAATCAACACTGCATGGTGACTGCCAGGGTTGTTTTCTGTGTGTACACACTCTCTATCACTGTCGTGTGTGTGTATGTGCGTGCGATGGATAAATTGTGATCTAAATTGCACAAAATGAAAATAACACTGACATCTCATTTTAGTAGATATATTTAACAAAATTACACAAACATATCTTAAAATACTAAAGAGTAAATTCAATAAAATTGCCATTGGCTTTAACCATGGCCTCCAGACGACTTCAGAATCTCCTAAAACTCTTCTGGACAGTTTCCTTATTTAAATTGGTGAATGCTGCCATAATCCTTGCCTTCAGTTCATCTTTGATGTTATAAGGAGTTTTGGTGGTCTCACTCAACTGTGCCCCACACATGATAATCAAAGGGGTTGCAGTCTGGTGAGTTAGGTATCCAGATTAAGGGATGTGGTCACAGCAATTGTCTCAGGGCCATGACTGAGTACTCCTACTTGTGTGGCATGGGGTCTTCCAGTAACCACTCTCTTGACCCAAAGCAGCACTACCTCCTCAATGCACTTGATATAAGCCTCCATGTTGAGTCTGAGGCCTTGTGGGAAGATTAATGGTAGCATAAAGACACCATCTCTAGTGATCACTCCAAACACCATCAAATTTTTTTCTGAATCTTCTGCAGTGTCCTCAAATTTCTGGTAGAGTGAATTGCATCACAGTGCTCTTTCTCCCACAGATGGTAGCCAACTGACCCTACTATATTGCGCATTTGACAAAATCAAAAACAAGCAACATGCATGTGCAAAATTAAAAATATAAAATGTCAACAATTTACCTATCGCACCCTGTATATCATTAAATATGACAAACAAGAAATTCTTACATTTTTCTGTTTGGTGAGAGTAAGAGAATGCAAAAATTGTAAATTCTTCCACCAAATGGAAAAATGTAAGAACACTGGAAAAACTTAACAAAAAATTAATTAAATTTTCCTTGTCTGTCATATATAACAAATTTTGCTATGCAAATATATGTTAATACAGAATGTCCAAAAAGTTTTGGCTAATTTTTATATTGAAAAATATTATAGGTTTTTCAATTTATTGTATAGAACAATGATGCAACAATGATAACTATGATTGAAATTGTTCTCCATTGTGTTTAATACAAGAAAACAAATGCAAAGAAACACAACAAACCTTTTGGCACGGTTCCATGTTGATTGTGGCAAATTTTTCATTAATAACTTGAAGGTCAGGAATAGTTTGTGGTTTCTTTTTGTATACCATGTCTTTAAGAACACCCCACAAGAAGAAATCCATCAGGGTTAAATCGGGTGAATGCACTGGCTATTCGTTCAGTCCACGCTGACCAATCCATCTACCATTAAAATTGATGTTAAGCCATTTACAAACACTATGCACATAGTGGGGCAGAGCCCCATCCTGTTGCATGTCTCTTTGTTGTTGCACTTGAGAAAAGAAGTAGGTTTGATGCATGTTGAGGTACCGTTCTCCAGTAACCAGTGCATCAAAGTATAAGCCAATAATCCCATTGCTTGAAATTGCAGCTCAGACACTTACTCCTGGGAGGTTAACTTCCTTCTCCAAAACCACATGTGGATTTTCATGATTTCAATACAAGCAATTATGTTGGTTAATGTGGCTGTTTAATTTAAAGCACTCTTCATTTGACCACCAGGTCCTGTAAAGTTTCATCATCTCATATTGAGGCAAAGAACATCTTCAAAAACTCAAGTCTGTGATCAGCATCTCCATCATGCAGAGCATGGAACATGCGAGCAATATAAGGCTTTATGCAACAAGTTATGCATGCTCTGGTGACTGATTTCAAGTTCATGAGATAAGCTCCAAACAGATTTTTGTGGACTGTCAATTAGACAAACTTTCAACTGCTCACCTTTTTTATCAGATGTTGCAGTGGCAGGTCGTCTAGATCTGAGTGCATCATTTACAGACCCTGTTGTTTCAAAAGTGACTAAATGTTCCTGCCCTGAACCATATGAATATGAAATTCTTCACTGATGCAATGGATTGCCTCAGCTACATTTGAACCACACTTATAGTAATGTTGGAAAGCAGCAATTCGTTTATTCTGATTCAGTCTAAAAGCCATGTTCCTGAAGCCTCAAAGACCAAACTGCAATAATACAATAAAAAAAATCAGGCAAAACGTTTTGGACAGCCTGTGTATGTATGTATGTATATATATATATATATAGAGAGAGAGAGAGATGAGGAGAAAATGTTATCTGAATCAGTAAAATGTTAGGCAAATTAATGACAAAATGTAAAAGTTTTGTGTAGCATGTTTCATTCTTCAAGACTTCATTGAACTAAAATAATGTTTTTTGTTGATGGATTTATTTATGTTTAGGAAAGAGGGGGAGGTATAAACACAAGCATTGGTTATAAATATGCACAGGTGGGAAATGCTGAACATGTCAGAATGCTGAAATTTTAAACTTTTAAATTAAAAAATACATTTTTTTTTTAATATGTGCTTGGTATATGACATGTTCGACAGAGAAGAGGCATATATCAACTTCATGCCCAATGCAATCCTCAGGTTCAAGTATAAAATAATAAATATAGGCTGAGTATAAAAAGTTGCACATTCAGATCACATCTATGAAAAACTGTCGAAAGTCCATAATGAGTTTTGTTTGAATATTTTCAATCATCTCTTGTCATTTTCATGAATATTAATGCTAAGATAGAGAAACATTTTTATTAGATTCATCATGCTATTTTAGGAATAATGCATTTCTAATTTATATATATATATATATATATATATATATATATACACACACAAATGACATCATCTTTTCTTTTCATTTTAGGTTTCCTTTTCCTTCTTTTTTTTTTCTTTGTTGTTTGTGGTTTCTTTTTCTTTTCTTATTTCAAGTTTTCCATTTGGCAGGCTTAGTGTTGGTAGCTTTGTATTTGGAAGCTTTACCAATACTTTGGTTTTATTATATATATATATATATATATATATATATATATATATATATATATATATATATATATATATATATATATATATATATAGGTACTTGTTTGGAAAAACCTCAGATAGCTTAACTTGCAGTAAAACAAATCGGGTACCCGAGGAAAAATGGAGAATAAAAAAAAGAAAGAACCAAGAACATTAAAACAAGGTGAAAACAATCATCCAGTGTTTAAGCTCCAAGTCCAAAGAAAAAAAAAAAAAAATGAATAAAAAGACAACTGCGTAAAGTGCTCAATACACTAAGTATTATCTTGTGTGTGTATGTATATATATATATATATATATATATATATATATATATAGAGAGAGAGAGATAGATATATATATATAGATATATATAAGGTAAAAAAAAACAATAGGAAAACTTAGTCCACACTGGGCAAAACGTGTCGGCTAATATTAGTTTTCCTATTGACTTTTACCTTTATATACACACACCTGTATTCGAGGATACCCATCTGCTAGCCAGTTCCTATTGTAGATGCTTGCTCAGGCACATTTGTGTTTGCTCAACAACCACAGAGCCCGCCTGTGGTTTATACTGCAACTATACTGAGCAGGCACTTTCCAAAGATGCCACACACTGGGATCGACCTTGATCCAGTCCAATCACATCAATCGCCTTCCTGACAAATTGACTATGGTGAGATTTGAACCCAGGTCTCATGGTCAGAAAGTGAACATTCTAACCACTCGGCCAAGCACCTATATATATATATATATATATATATATATATATAATGTTTCATTAAATAATATAGATATATTATGTCTATTTTTATAATAATCCTTTCTAGTTCTCTAATTATCTTGTTGATGTTAAGCTGAGATTCATCAAGGAAAGTGCCATATTTTTTGTTGACCCAAGTACTTTCAATCTGCTCTGAGATCATCCTTGAGGTGAATTGCAAAGACAAACCTAATGTAACTGTAATTGTTGTGATGGACATTTTTGTAAACATGCATGAACATGCTCTGTTATAATTATTTTCAAATTAACCATTGTGGTTACAAGATATATAATCGCACAGCAATTGCTGTTGGTAATAAAATGGTCTCAATGTATAATAATTCATTTTCTTCCTCAGTATTATTACAACTCTGAGTTTCATGCTTGCTGCAGTCACTAAAGAGTTCAGTTTTTGAAATTCCCTGTATGTTACCTGGATTGACATTTATTTGATGAAGGCTGGAGGGCACAACAACTAAAACATTGTGATAACAACAAAGATGCAGACAATAGTGTAATTAATGATAACTCCTCATCTTATAAATTAATAATGTTTGAATTGTATGAGAAGAGACATATTCTGTATTTTTTGCTGTCTTTTTTACTTATTGTAGTTATCAATGTCAGGTTTATATGGTAGGCATTTTGCTAAAAATGAAAATATGCCATAATATCAACAAATGAAATCACATGGAGAAGATAGGATTTCAAATCTAACATTTGAATTCTATTTATGTATTAAATTGAATGTATTATGACATAATGAAGGTATACATTTGTGACGATCAGAATGATGAGCTGTCAATGTGCTGTCAAATTTTATTGACCACTTTACGTGTTGAATGAGTTTGTATGTAAATGAAGACAGTATAGTGAAAGACACCAGTGACCACAACTGAAACAAAGCAGACATTTGCTATTTATTAAGGAAAAATTAGCCAAAAAAAAAAAAAAAAAATATGATTTTCAAAAAAGTCTCAGCAGCCACTCTGATTGGTACAAAAATAAATAATTGTATTTTAGTGTGCTGTCTAGCAATACCATTGCAACCACAAACAAAATTATTTTAATCATTCAACTTCCAGTCTTTATAATGTGAAGACTGTCATAACAGTGTGGGATTATCAAAATCGAGATTAGAGTAGCATTCTCATTTTCTCTTACTGTTTCTTATTTGCAATGATTTGCATTATCGTAATGAAAGTATAGAAAATGTGTGAAAAGTTGCTTTATAATTTGAATCTTTTTTTTTTTTTTTTTTCTCAAAATAATATATTAATACTTTCAATGCCCATCCTTGGTATGACGATAAACTACATCTGCGTCCTGGGTAAGACTACTTTCAACAGCAAGGCCTCTGATCAGGAGGTTTTGAGGAGCGTGGGACCACCTCTTAATTGCTGGTGTTCCCAGGTCCACCCTGACCCGGGGTGGTAACACCTGTTAGGGTCCCAACTATGGGCAAATAGTTAACCTCGAAACTGAGGTTAAAAGCATTATGAAAGTGTAAAAATAGGTTTTACTATCAGAAATACTTTGTAAAAAAATTATTACCAGAAATAAAATCTTTGAAGAAAAAAAAAAGTATTACCAGCAATATGTTTTTGAAAAAAAATATTACCAGCAATACATTTTTTAAAATAAATTACCAGGAAAAAGAAAGTTGTCAGCATTGAGGTTGATATGCCATAAAACAAACCAAACTTTCAATGCTGCATTGTTATAGCATTGTTGCCTGGCTGTGTTGGCCAACTAAGGGAAAATAGGAAATTGCCATTTATTGGAAAGAGATGACTAAAAGACGCTGATAGAAATTTTTACATAGGTGCCATCATTTTGACTTCAATTGGATAGTCTGCATTATTGACTAAGCCAAAAAACAATCCCAAAATAATAAACATTTATTACAAAATCAATCATATTATGCACTGCTATATGTCTACATTGGTTTAGAAATATTACTAGTTATTTTATAACATAAATGCTAGGTACCAACATTTCATTGTCGTGGGATAGCAATAAACTACATCCGGCAGCAAGGCCTCTGATTGGAGATTTTGAGAAGTGTGGAACTGCCTCTTAATTGCTGTTTCCAGATCTATGCTGTTCCAGGGTGGTAGCACCTGTTAGGGTCCCAGCTATGGGCAAATAGTGAACCCAAAAACAAAATCAGCAGTAGATTTTTGTAGTGAAATTACCAGCAATACATTTCATGATCTACAAACTATATATTTAAAAATTGACGAGATTTTCTTATTGGTTGGGTATCTGCCAACAAAGAGAGATGGAAAACAGTGCAGCACCGGAATCAAACACTGGGTTATGATGAGCAAGGCACATACAAAACTTCCACATGGAAACACCACCTGTATGGGACAAACACAGCTGAGACACCAGAAATGCAAACAAGGATGAACGAATTTGAAATGATGCTATGTAACACAAACAAAAATCCTAGCTAATGCACAGCAATCCCTTTGTGTGGTCAACATGGCATACTGCCAAACTCTCTCTTCCCAGAAAATGTATCTGCTTTTATGGAGCCTAAAACTTTAGTAGTTGGCTAGCAAAAGGAATCATTTGCATAGCTAACATTACTTAGCTCACCATCCCAACTATCTCATGGCTAAGCTAGTAAACACTTTCTTTCTTCATAACCAGACATTCCAGGGTTTGCACTGGCTTTTTTGTAGCAAGGCAGCCATGTGCTGTCTTTCTACAGAGACAGCACACTAAATGTCATCTCTTTGACAGACAGATGGGTACTGTTATCAGTGGCAATTGGCTGCTCCATCTGCATTTTATTTCCACTACAGGTAACATTGAATCTTGTTCTTGAAGGGCAGCCATATGCTGTCTTTCTGCAGAGACAGCACACTAAACATTGTCTCTTTGACTGGAGGTGGGGGGTACCATTATCAGTAGCGATTTGCTGTTTTGTCTACATTTTTTGCACTACAAAAAACATAACTTTTACCCTGAAAGTATAAAATTATGTTCAAAATATTTAGATTTTGGCATTAAATAACCCATATACTGCTAAACAAATTCAACAGCATTCCAAATTGTCTTTAAAATTTTTGTATAAGCAATGTCAGTTTCATAATGACATAAGAACATCCACAGCTGTGGAAATGTTAAAATTTATTAAGATGATAAATAATTAAATAAAATCTGCTTGCCTAATATTTTTTCTGCAGTGTCTGTAAGTTTTTACTGTAATAGAATTATTTCCCATTCTTTGGTTGTATGTTTGCTATGAAACTGTTATTTACAAAGCTGAGAATTTAAATAATTAACTCCTTGAAAACAATACAATTGAGTACAATAATAAAACATTTAAAATGCTGTTATTTTTTATGGCATAAGTAAACTAATAGAATGTAATATAAAATATGTATAAAATGGACTCTGAGGTCAACACCTAATGGCAACATTCTTTCATGCCTGACAGCAATCTCCAAGCCACTTTTATATTCATATTCACACTCTATCCCAGATATTAAGCACTTCTGCCAATAAATATAGCATCCATTAAAACTATATTTTTATCATGTGTGTGAGTGAATGAATAAAAAGATGAGGAAAAACTATTCTTAGTCGACACATTTTATCCTCTTGTCTTTTTATTCATTTACAGATACACTATATATATATATATATATATATATATATATATATATATATATATATATATATATATATATATGTAATGTGTGTGTGTATTACACCAAAAAAAACAAAAATTACCTCAACATAGATATAGTTAAAATAAAAAAACATGGTGCTCTCTGTGGATCAATTTTAATAATTAATATTACTAGGATCCACCCGGATTAAATACCAATGGATCTATACTATATATATATATATATATGTGTGTGTGTGATTTAATGTACTAACCACATGCAAGCTTTTCACTCATCACTTGCTTTTCTTATATTTTGTCATATTTTTACTCCATTTGTTGTCCTCATTCTCTTTTTTACAAAAAGTTTTGAAAATTTTGATTGGTCCTTCACAGCTAGTTTTTTTTGTTTTTTTTTTCTTATTTAACTTTGATTTAACAATAAAAGGATCATTTCCATATGTAGGAATAAACAAAATGTTTTAACTTCATGAACAATCTGTGAAATATCTTGAGACATTAATAAATAAATGTGTTACGTTTTTGCTTTTTCAGAAAATGTTCCACGTTCCAGCCTTTACTCCAGACCAGGAAGATATTCCGTTTGCTCGAGTCAACCACAATAAATACATGGTTACTGATTCCACTGGATATATTGGTAATCCTATAATTTAATACAGACACATAACTAAAATTCCAACAATTGATAGATTGAAGCCAATTTTGGTTTGACATACATATTCTCAATGAGAATAGAGTATATATTATATATATAATTATATTTAAAAAATAAAATACAATACGAGCTTACCTCAGTGAAAAACTAGCAATGATTTATAGGTGCTATGCAACATTTAGAGTTATTTATATTCTGCACTTTGCTCTCATTTGCGTATTTCTTTTAAATTTTTTTGTCATGACCCATTTTATTTATCTCCTGGCCCACTGAAAGGTTGGGACCCACAGTTTGCAGTCTGCTTTAGTCAACTCGTCGACAGAGGGTATCACAGTACAGCAAGGTTGTTTTTACCCTTTTAAGGAAGCACACTTCTTTGCTCACTTATTTCAAAAGACTATATCTGCTCAGTTTTCTATCCAAAATATAAAGTGATTTTCTAAAGAATTAATGGATTTATTTTTAATCTGACATTTTTATTACTTTAAACATTATCCATCTACTTTAAACATGAGTATCCACTAAAAATAACATTTGAAAAAATAAAAATGTCAAATTAAAAATGAATCCATTAGTTCTTTAGAAGTTGCTTTGTTTACATTTCAAAAACAAAACTGAGCAGAAATGGGCTTTCAAGAATAACTCACCAAGGAAGTGTGTATTCCTTAAAAGGGGAGCCTTATGCAAGATACTGGTATTGAAAATCTGGATGAAGTCAAAACAGCTACAATGGATTGGAACAATTGGTGACGACAAGCTGAAATACTGTGAGAAGAAACTCTGCTGATGATACTGCAACTACTACTATCAACATTATTATTATCATTATTATTATTTGTCTGTACTCATTCCATTACTTTGATCTTTCTCCTCTACAATTTTCACATCCATTTTACTAAATTTGCTCTGTTTCATGCTAAATGCAATCATCAGGCCATGTAAATGAAGGGAAGATAGACGGCTGAATGAAGAGAGATTTGTCGGCTGTTTCACTGAAATGGAAAGAGTTCTCAATTTCAAATTTTTTTCATTTGTACCCACTTCTTAAAATAACATTCATATTTATGATGGTTATTGCAATATTTTGTTTACATTATTAGGCTCTAATATTTAACAATGCAACCAGACAATTGCGTTTAGCATGAAACAGACTGTCCCATCTGGATGTTGACTTCAATGTCCACTTTTATATTTATATACGCTCTATCCCTGATATAGAGCACTTTAACCCATGAATATAGCATACCTTATATATATCATTTTCTTATATATATATATATATATCATTTCACCCCAAGTAAGGTGAAAGAGAATGAGAATACTTTAGTGAAGAGAAAGGATAAAAGAACAGGAGTCAGGAAGACAGAAGATGGCAATTGACATTGCATTTAAATTTTTGAAGAGTGTATGTGGCATGAAAGCAAAAAAACAGAAGAGTGTACCACAGGCAAGAAAAGAAACTATTAGAATAGAAGTTGCGATTACATGTAGCTATTTCAAAAGTAAAATGATGCCAATCTAGTACCAGGCTGAAATTCATGCATTCAAGGTACCAAGGAGAAGAGATTATAACAATTGCCATGAAAATATTTATAGAAAAGACACAGGGAAGCCATGTCACAACAAAGGGAAAGTGATTGAAGTGGAGATGCCAGATCCGAACCTATTACATTACAGACCCTTCTTGAATTTTATCAAGAATCTCAAATATATAGCAGGATCACCAGACCAGATATGGCAGTAATATTCAATGCATGGATGGATGGTAAATTTATAAATGTACAAGATACTGTGGCACCTTGCATTATTAGAAATATTCATAGAAATATGATTTAATTTTTTCTTACTCGGTTTACTAAACAGGTTGTTGATTTTTTTTTAAAACGGAAAATAATTGAGTTGAAAATAATTCACTAAGATTGTACTTAGACGATCCTAAGGGAAGAAGAGAAAAGAAAAGAAAGAAAGAGAGTTGGATGATGCATGACCCGGTCAGTGGTGGAGATAGGGGTCAGAGGGATGTCTTGGCCTGCGTGTGGCCGAGTTTTTTAAAGACAATTGGAAGAATAGAATTAGAAATAATAAGAAGAAAGAAAGGGAAAAAGACATGATATCAAAACGGGCCGCTTGATGAAAAACCAGATATCGGTCAAAACATCTGACCTACTTTTTATGAGAAAGACTCATTATCAATTTGGAGTAAAGGGAAATTTTAAGAACAATGAGAACGAAATCTTAATCAGAGAAAAAGTGTTTTTGGGTTGAGGGGAGTGACCGGTGGAACTATATACAGATCCTGACCTATTAAGAATTGGAAACCTACGATAATAAAGTGGGAACATTCTCAATGTAGATAATTAAGATTTTCTGACTGTCGGGTCTGACAAAGACGGGAGGTGAAGGGGACGATTGTCTCAGTTCACAGATAGCGCCAATATTCTTCCCTGAAGTCACATCTAATTAGTGGCGGGCTGTTTGACAGAGCCCAGGTGAGAGAAAGCCAAGATTGTCATTTTTCGTACGTGCAGAAAAGGGCAAAATTGGATTTTGTTTTTTAAAAACAAGAACGATGTAACCACGCCCGAAAGGAGGAGAAAAGGATGCTCGATCAATAACAATTGGTCGGAAACGGTCACGGATCTGCAGAAAAGAAGAGAAAGAAATGCCCGATCAGGAACCATTGGTCGAAAAACGGTCACCTGACATACGAGAGACTAAGAGAGATGGGTGTGCACCTCCCCACCAAAGGCACTGTGAGGAAGTAGGGGTGAAAACAATAGCGATAATGGGAAATCAAAAATAATGCGACTTTTTGGAGTTATCGAGAAAACCCTGACGCCGACAGACCCACCCCAGTTTGTTGCGGCGTCAATAAAAAAAGGACCCCAGTCGACAGAAATGAGTTGGAGGGAGTTGCAGCTGGACCGCGGGCAGGAAAGAGCCTGAACGCTGGCATCGGGCCCGATCTACTCGCCTTTGCGGGCAAGAGAATCCTCAGACAAGAAATCCTTCCACCCAAGTCGAAGACAGAAGAGTTCAGCCCAAGGACGGCAAGATTCAGAAGAGATCACCTCGAAGACGACAGAGAGTTGCGCTGAGTTGCGTGCAAGAACTCCCAGCCCAAGCAGACAAAGAAGATTACTCGAAAAAGAGAAGCCAAAGAGAAGTTGCAGCCAAGTCGAAGACAAGAGAACTTCCAGCCCAAGTAGACGAAGAAGAAGATTGCTCGCAAGCCTCAGAGAAGTTGCAGCCAAGTCGAAGAAGAAGAAGATTGCTCAAAAGCCGCAGAGAAGTTACAGCCAAGTCGAAGATAAGAAGAAGAGCTGCAGGCCAGACAGGCTGAAGAATTGCAGGCAGACAAGAAGAAGAATTGCAGGCCAGACAGGCAGCAAGAGTTGTGGCAGAGTTACGGCAGAGTTCAGCCCCGGACGGCAGCTGAAAGAGATCACCTCGGACGACAGAGTTGCGCCAAGTAGAGTTGGGCAAGAGATCCTTCCAGCCCAAGTCGAAGACAAGAGAACTTCCAGCCTAAGTCGACGAAGAAGAAGAAATACAACTCAAGTCGAAGAAGAATCAACTGCGAATGATCGATAGAAATTAGCCCCAGTGTCGAACCAAACCACACTCCGACATACACAATTCTAAAGAGTAGGCAATTCAAATCTTTAGGTTGTGTGATAGAAAACAGTGCCATAGTCCACAGAGCGGGTCGGGAATTGAGAACAATTTTGTTTTTTATGTAACAGACATTAAGATATAAAGGTTGTTACCCTTTTTTTTTCATCAGCAATCTTTTTTGTCTCGTGAGTTTATTTTCTTTTATTTGTGTTTTGCCACCCCGTCGGACTCAACTTGTATCGCCCCAATCCCTGCTGGTCCCGTCTGTCTAAGATCTAAACACAACGTGGGTAGACAGACCGAGATCAGTACAGTTGTTCAGTAACCAGGTATTGAAGCGAGTTGGGAAAGGCGAGGGCTGGTGATCATCCAACCAAGGGGTTGGAGCGGCACGCTTGGAACCAGGAGGAGCGACGTCACAGTTGGCGCCGTAACCAAGGGATTCGACCCTGGGCCAGGTGTGTAACCGTCACAATACATTCTAGCAAGAAAAATTGTCTGGCATAACACAGTGAACCAGCTTTCGTAGCATCACATCTAGCAATTTGATTCAATATAATCACTCCATTACATGTTAATGGAAAACCTGAGACAAAGAAGGTACAAGAAGTCGCTCTCCTGGACGTTAGCATCAATCATACAGATGGAAGACTAAAATGGTTCTCTATGTAATAGTCACTTGAAAACCTTAAAAAAATAATTGCCTAATGATATATATATCAGCCTTGAAATGTTTTTAAAAATTCTGTTAAACTGGGACGCATCTTGATAAAGTGTTTTTGTAACAATGTAACTTTTTTGTTTGTTTTTAATTTCAGGTACCTCTAATTGGAGTGGTGATTACTTTATATCCACAGCTGGGTTAGGATTGATTTTCAAACCATCTAAAGTCCAGCAGTCAGGTGACCTAAGACAACAGTTGGAAGAGACATTTTTACGTGACTGGAATTCAAAATATTCCAAAGATATCTGACCACACTCTCTTTTTTTCTTATCATAATCTTTATACTCTAATAAATTCTTTTGTGCCAAATAAAATTGATTTTTTTTATATTATACTTGTCTCAATTATGTCTAACCAAAATGTAAAAAATTTCAATGGAATTTTCTGTTTTGCTGTCATTTGATAATTGTTAAACATTGATTGTCTCCCTTCCTACCTGAAAATATTGATAGTTGTTACCTAAGTTTCTTTCCATACTTTCTCTCTCTTTCCATACTTTCTCTCTCTTTCCCCCCTTTTTCCATACTTTCTCTCTCTGAAAACAGCGTATGACAGGATATTTCATTTTTTTTATTTTTAAGAAAACTCTGGAACTAGATTTATTTTACATTATAATTATTTCTTTATATTTAAATAGGTTTCAGATATCTCGGTGAACTTATAAATTAACCCATATGGAAGTCATTTTTTCTCGATTCATCAACAAAAATTTATAATTTGCTATAATTGTACTGGTCCATATATTGATAGTTAGTACCAAAGTTTCTTTCTATACTTTCTTCACTCTCAATTTCTTTCTTTTGCATATCTGTTCATGCAACTTTATTCTTATCTCACCAGATGATGGAGCTTTGTTTTTTGTCATATGGAATGTGTAAGATTTAGTAAGTTAAAATCCATTTTTCTTTATTAAATTTGAGAAAAATTAATAAAAATTGATAAGTATGTGTTTTATACTTGTTTGTTATATAATCTTGTATCTGTAAATATTTAAACAATATTTCCTTTCATATTTTGCAATTTCCATTCAAAATTTCTGGACAGATATATTTTTTGATTTAATGGCATTCTTTATATTTCAAGTTTTATTAGCAATTAATTTTGATGCACAAAATTACCAAATCAACACTTTAGACACATGCACTCTCATTTGATTTTGAGTTATTATTTCTTTCCATTCTTTTTTTTTTCCATTCAGGAAAAGTCAACTATAAACATTCCATTAGTCCTTGAAATTGTTAACACATATTCAAAGTATTTTCATGATAAAAATATTCCCAGATTAATTAATATTTTGACAAAATTATGTATTGCCAAATTGATGGGATTTCCATGGGTAGTCCACTGGATCCAATGATGGTCAATATCTTTGTTGAATTTTATGAGCAAGATTTACTTGCTTGTATTAAAAAAAAAACAAAAAAAACATACTTTTATTTTTGGTATGTTGATGACATTTTACTGTGTTCAATAATGACATGAATGTACATAAATGTATTTTTATTGAATGATTGAAACATTTTGCAATGACTGATACAGATTCTAATATATTTTTTCCATAAAAAAGATAACTTTTTTTTATGAGCAAAACTGAACATTACTTCAAGGACCTCAATTTATTTCAATATCTTAATTCATTCAGGGAAATCCCCTGAACACTTTCTTGAAAACCATTCAATTTTACCAATTATACATGTTGGTAACAGCATCTTTGTTGAGGTTGCTTTTGCAGGTTATTTTTACTATGTACTAAGTTGGATAAACTAGTTTATACCAAAACTTACTAAATAACAACACTGGTGATAAAGATTTGAACAGAAAATCCTTAAATAAAACAGTTTGTGATATTTTCTAAATTTGAATCTTATTTCAATAAATTTACTAGTTTATCTTTTAATTGTATTTTGAGATTGAATTGTTTTCACATCCAAAAATTTCAACAAACTGAAATAATTTTTTTTTACAAAATCATGATCTTCCAACCATCCAAATTATGAAAATAACTGATTTTTATCTTCTATACTCATTTTGGTAAATCATAATCGGTGTAATAATTGATGTCTCAATAAACAATTTTTAAACCATTTATGTTTTACTGTTTCATTATTTGTTTTAATATAATTGGAGAAATATCTTTTATTCTTTTAAAACTTACTCTTAAGCATCTATCATTATTTTTAATGTTTAAAAGTCTTCAGCCAATAATTTCCATAAAGAAATATTATAAAAATTTTACTTTCCTACCAACTCCAAGTTCTTATGTCAGACACAAAATTTAGTTGGTAGAAACAGCAATTCATGATAAGACACAAAATTAAGAAGCAAAACGACAACTGCGTAAAATTTTATAATGTAAAACCACATTTATTTTACAAGTTACAAATACGAAAAGGTAGAATATAAGGGTTGCACAAAATTTTGTTTTATGCACCTATTTTGGCAGGATAACAATTTTGGGGGGTAACAAAAAAAAAGGGATTACCCACAAAAACAAGAAAAAATGTTACACTTGATAAAGACAGATTCAAAGACAAAAAATTAAACCCTTTAAAAATAGAAAAAAGGGAAAGACTTGGAGTAAGCAATAACAAAATCACACAAAGCAGAAATTTCAAAATGCACCCATTTCCATTCTTAACAATACTCAAATGGGACATCTCAGCTCAAAGGGCTTTCATGTTTTCAAGTTGTTTTCTCAAGGGCCTTTTGAAGTATTTTGCCAAAAATTTATCTTTTTTTTTTTTTTTTTTTTTTTTTTTAAATTCTTTTCAGGAAGGCATAGAAAGAATTTTCAGTTCTGGGGTAGAAATCTGTATTGAATCTGCTCGTTCTTCCAATGCCCACGGCCGGCCACGTGTTGACTTATGATCAGTCCTTTGACATATAGGTGCTAAATGACTCCTTCTTCTTCCTCCATTAACTGTTTTCTTGTCAACAGCACATTCTATTATGATCTTATCTGCTCACAGCAATCCTTTTTATTGAAAAAGCTGGGTCATGCCAGCTCCAGCCAGAATTTCACCAGGGTCCAAGAAATTTGTTTCACATTGACTCATATAAAACCCTTCTTCAAGTATTCAAAAAAATGAATCTACAACAAATCAAATAATTTTGGCAGTATCAACCACTTGAGCCTAGGTCATATAAATGCAACAATTTTCACACAAACCATCTGACCTTCAGAAAAATGCACTTCTCTAAAAAAAAACTCATATTTAAAAAGCAACCTAGACAATTATACATTTACAATTATAACATTTTTAAAATAATAAAAATAAAATTTTTATAATGTAAACCTCTTAAATTAGACCAAATATTGAATCAAGGTTCATGAGAATGGAGATGACACTTGTGATTCTTTCACAGCTGTCAAACTGGGAGGATCATACTTATTAATAAATGATTAAAGACAAAAGGAAAACTTAGTTGTGCTTCGGCCTCTGGGGAACTTTATCAAGGCAAATGCAAGGATTTTATAACAAGTATTTATATACAAGAGCAAAAATGTTAGTTTGTTTTTGTCGTTTTTTTTTTTTAAAAAATTTAAGTGTGTTATTAATAGATGTAATAAAGAAAAATCCCTTTTATATTTTGGGATGGGTTCTTTTGATTTTAAAGTGTGTGTGTGTGTGTGTGTGTATATATATATATATATATATACACACACAAAATGGAGCTAACTATATGAGAAAAATGTTAGAATTTACTTTACCTTTGACCTCATCATAATGTTCAAAGCATTTTGGGATACACAGAATCAGGCTCAGTATTTATTGTTCAAAATAACAATGTAACATTAAATCAGGTTTCTGTCTATATTTCTGCGATGAGGTATTGTAACTATTTATACTATTTACATTGTTCAGACTGTTGTCCTCATCTTTGTTGTCATATTCACAATGTTTCGGCCATTGTACACTCCGGATTTCTTCAGGTGATATACATTGGAATTTTGAACTGAACTCTTTATTTCAATATTATTCATGAGTAGATTGTTCTAGTTCCACATGCCATGCCTTTTCTGGATACCTCAGTTTCAGTTATTTTAGTAACTCAACTCTCCAAGTTTTTTGTTCACTTCTGCTGTAGCCAGGTATTGAACTCCCAACTCTGGGTCAAGTCACTGAATTACTTCAACCAATGCTTTTATCCACTGGGCAATTCCATTTACCTGGGGTAAATAATAAGGAAGACAGGCTTGCAAAATCTGATACTCACAGGACAGTGTAGGCAAGAGAGACAGGAAAACAACACAACACACTTGACTATCTTGAGTAAATGGATGGCCGAACAGCCAGGAGAAATAATGAAAAGACAGAATTTATTTAGAGCTACAAAGGATAGGAAGTTGTGGAGGGCCATGAAAGGCTACATCCTGAGGTGGCATGACACATAAAGAAGAAATACTAGTTAACATGTACCTGTGTTCTTGTTTTGCAATAAAAACTAAATGCCTTCAACTTCTAACAATTGTGATTATAGGAGCCTGTTGCGGGTATTATCTTTTCTTAGCTAAAGCTTTTAAAGGTAGTTCCCTAAACTACATTCAAACAAAAACACATGGTCATGCTGCCTGAAAGTTTTAAATTCATTCACATTAATCCTTATAGACATAGAAAGCAGATTTGGAGAGAAAGGTAAATCATGTAAGATTGAGTAGAATCAGTAAATAACACCAAACCATTCAGCTACATAACAAACAATTTATAAGAAATGTACAAGTGTGGTTGATGTATAAAATGTCCATACCTGTTATGTACAATTGTATGTCTTTTTTTTCAGGACTGAAATATGTCCTGGTTGTGAAGGCTACATTTTGGGAGATGCCAACATGACGTTGTTCTACAGAGACAGAGGAAAAAAAATGTCAGAGCCTCGTGACCAATGTCCAGAAAGAGAAAAAAGCACAAGACAGTGGTTGCTGCTCCTTTTTATGTTCCTGTGAGATACACAATATTCAAAATCAGATCAACATTAACACAACTAATAAACTGTTTTTCTGCTAATGAATAGCTTTAAAAAGAAATTAAAAACAAAACATTCATCTTATACACTTTTATAGAGGCCTATCCTTTAAAAAGGACATTTATCAGCATCGCCACAGAGATTTACCCAGACCCAATTCAACAGACAGTTGTGCTATTTCAATTGAGATTAGAAGCACTGTCCTTACACTGATAGTAAGGAGAAGCTCTATACTACCCAATATAAAAGAAAACTGATAGCTGATAACAGTAAGAAAGAACTTTTTTAATTTATACACTACTTGTCTACTACTTTCAAATTAATTCAGTCTTTTTTGAAAGAATGAGATTTCAGAGACTTTAATCCTACAAGTCAAATTCATACAAAAATATTTTCTCCTTACACACAAAAACAGAACATTAACAAACAAACTTTAACACTACATTTTGCTTTATCAAACTATTTAAACTATAAAGAGCAAATAATATATATAAGTAAATAAATTTATTTGTGATATTTCAATGTAACTTGTTTTTCTACCTTGCCAACCAACTTCAAATATCCAAGTCTTAACTTGATAAGGCCTA